TGGATAGATTTGGATAAGCCTTATCATCTTACACAGAGTCCATCTTTGAGTGCGGAACAGACTCCAGGTTATGCAGGCCAGTGATCTCGAAAACATTTCACGAAGCCTACGACAACTTACTTATATAAAGGCATCGCCTCTAGTCTCATAAAGTACGCACGATTTAACTATCACAAATTACTGTTCTTCAAGCTATCACTTCTCTACAACTTCCCAAATTAACTTAAGCATTGAAATGTCCACACCAGATAAAATACCCCATAACCTTTTATCTTCTTTCCTTCCAAGACATAGCAGTCCGACACTCGAATTGCCTTTCCAACAAAAAACACCTGATCGCGCACCACCAATCATCATCATCATCATCATCAGACCCTAGATGCAAGAGGTATACCACTGTTTGCCACCATTTAAGCCAATGGGCCTAGCAATAACATCTCCATTACTATGTAGCTTTTAAACATCAAGCATGGACACCACTTACCACTTAGACAGCGATGCACGACATGTGTCATCTTCACCTCTTCCCTGCTGCCCACACTGTAGGTGATACCTACGTTGTAGTCTTCTTCTCTGCTCACGCATGCTCCTTATTGATTTATTATACTATGGTATGGATGTTGTATAAGCTGTATCCATGTGGACTACGTGTCTCCCAAATCCCAATTCCAGTAGTGCGAGTTGTTTAAGAAATTTTGTGACATCTAAGTGAGAGAATAGCCACCTTTGTAATTAGCATAGAGTACACATATATATCTACCCATTAAAGCCTAATCTATATATAGATAGACATAGAATAGGGACCCGAAATTAATTGAAAAGACTCCACGCATTACTTCAAGCCAAAAAAGAGGCATAGGCAACTGGTCATATGGCATGCATAAAAGAAAATGCAGGAATTACAAAAAAAAAAAAAACAATCTACATGTGTGATTGTATGCATTATTGATCACCRGCTGCTTGTGTTGACATATTTTTTTGCCGTAGGAATGGGTAGCATAATTGAGTTGGATTTAGGTATTGTTGAATGGGACAAGCGTCAAAGAAATGGACCGGACAGTTGTATTGAGATTTGGACTCCACGCCCATGAGCTAGCTGTTCCACTTCCACCAAGACCCAGTTTCAGTTTGGGAAAACAAAACGCCATCTTTCTCTATCTGGGGTTTTGAATTTCAGTTGTAAGAGTGGAGTGGGGCCTTATCTCTCTCATCACAAAAGTAAGGTAATTGATTGGACATTGGACTGTATATATATACAGCAGAAGAAATTTAACATGGTACATTACATGACAATCTCTCGTTGAAAATCAAAGGAGCCGAAATGTTGAATCCAAATTCCTGAGCTTGGGTATTTGGAGGAAAGTGAACTCACATTGGAATTATGAAATAATTAAAATTCCACGGTATGATTGACCCCATTTTTTCAAGCGAAATTACACACAGAAGTAGTGCAGGGAGCCGAGGGAAAAAAGCGGTTAGAGTCCTTTGAGAAAAGACGAGCTTTATTCTATCTGGGTCCTGGGATTGGGAAGAGCCAAAAGAAGGAGCACCACTGACTTGGAAGGAAGAAAGCATAAAGAAGACTCGTAAAAAGAAAGGTAGCTTTAGATTCCAAGTAGGCACGTCCTTTTATCGACTTTTGTTTTGATGGATGAAGCTCTCTCGCTGGTTAGACGCTATGGAACACGCCACACATAATATATTTTTTATAAAAAAGGGAGGGATAAACGCATCTCATCTCAGCACTCATCAGGGAAAATCAGGGGTTCTCTGTTAATAGACAAAGTGGTGTAGCCCTTGTGGATCATTGGCTCAGAGGCCGAAAGGCCGTCCAAGCTGATTCAACTAAACGTGTATTTTTCATATACATCCCTACCATCAATTCTGATATTTGATGCTATTTTCTATAAAATTAATGCTACAATTAACAAGATCGAGTACTAATTGATAACAGCGTAAAATTTGATGAATCTAATGTTTCTGCTCCGAAAGCCAGATATTCCCAGTAATTACTGTTTCTTTTGCATAATGCTCAATTTGGAAAGAGTATAAATATAAAGTCTTGTATTTTATATTATTTTGCATATATTTATATTTGTATTCCTTTCAAATTGAGTCTAAAGCTGCTTAAATATATTATTTATATATTATATATGTACACTATATATTTATCTATGTTATATTTAGTACTTATATATATATATATTCATTCAAGCTAATGTAAAAAAAAAAAAGGCTGGTGACAATTAATGAAACTTAGTKAGCAGAACAAGGACCTGTTGGAATGAGAAAATTAAAAAGAAGAGGAGTCCCCTTCACCTCCGCCACAGCGTGTAACACAAGAAAGGAATCTCTCAATCCCTAACATTTTATTCTTGTCCATTCTGCATGTGTAAATATATTAAAAATTGGCAGTGTAATTGAGAAAGAGAGAGAAGACTGGTGAATGATGATGATCCCTTTCCGTTGAACCGGTTAAAGAGCAAAACCAATGGACTGGATGACAACAACGTTATGATATGAATTTAACATTGGGATATGCTTCTCACAGAGCGCATTCAAAGTGGTCTGAAATCCATCGTGTAATTTGTTGTTATATTTTTGTAACACTGAAAACAATGCCAACATAAAATTAAAAAGATGAAGCGAAAAAAAACATAAAATTAAAAAGATAAATAAAGATGTTAGACAGTTGTAGGTTTTTTCTTTATATTATAATAATTAAAAACGAAAACTAAGGAGTGTGTATACATACAGGACATATGCAATCTTCTCCGGAGAGGAGAGGAGAGGAGAGKAGCTCTAAGCTCTATATGGAAGTTTCTACGCGTGTGCTTGTCGTAAATCTCACGTGCACTAGTCAACTTTGGGAAACGAAACGGAAAGAGAGCGATAAAAAGAGGACAAGGGATGGCGCATGTATATATATATATATATATGTGGCTATCAATATATAGATATTCTCTTTTTTCCACATCCATATTTATCATCACAACAACAATACCGGTATGGACTGGACTATGAACTCTTAAAGGATAATAAATAGGGAAAACAAACACAAGTATGAAGTATGCTCTATCAAAATTTACTTTACCTTTTGGGGAAGTAAGGATACATCCGATGCAGAATTATGAATTTCAGCCCCCTACCCTTTCACCCCTATAAACCACATCTTATCCGTATATTTGTTGATCTGGGCTGATTGGTCATTCTCCCTTTTTTTTTTTTCCACTTTTCTGTTTACTTTGTAGGGGAGGAGGATGGGTTATTACCTTTATTACCCAACGAAGCTAATTAACGCGTTCGTTCCACGAAGGAAAAGATGCTTTTGGTTTCCTGTTCACCTCACACACACCGCCAAAACTCAAGTGTGGGAGACCCGGAAGCCGGAATTAGCATAAAACGTAAATTAATCGTCTTTGTCTGTTCACGGTTCAGATTGATGCTCTCACAGATACTGCACAGGCCACTCTCTTTCCTTTCACTGTTTCACAGATAGGACTCAGGAGTCAGAGAAGTAGTAGTTCGCCCTTCATTGCTGGTGGCCCCCATCAACCATTAGACTGGTGTCAGATGGTTTAATTTATTAATTAGATAAAACGGGCCATGCTTATGCGTGCATGGGTGTTCATTAAAAAGCTTAATTATATCCAGTAATCCAATGCGTTCGGCTTCTGCCCCTCATGAAAGATCGAAGGAGACGGGTAGGGAGGGAGGGAGGGAAGGAGAGGGACCCTCTCTCTCTCTCTCTCTCTCATTGAATCAGATTCCACCTTCGACGAAAGAAAACTGGAAAAGCATGTCTGCTTCTAAAGAAAGCCAGCTGATCAGTTGGATTCTCGCTAAATCGATCGTCAGAGACAGGAATTATAAAATTTATAATTAATTCATAGTTGGTAGTTAATACCTGATAACCCGATAAACGCCGCCTCTGTGCTCTGTTCGCTGCTTAATAGTTAGTGAATACAATAGAAAGGATCCGCCTTCCTAAACCTCAACTGCGTCGTGGTTCATTTTCAATCGTTCCTTTGTACGATCATTGGATCCTTTTTTGCTTTATATCCTTCTTCTACCAAATTCAATTTTGACTTTTCAAGAGAATCCAACGGCTGCAATGCAATCCTGCATGCTCCACGTTTTCATTTGTCATTTTGCTTACTCTGTTACTCACATCACTCTCAAGAGTCAAGACGGCTCCTGAAGCCTACTGCCAGGCTGCCAAGTTCCAGATCCACAGCCAATGGGCCATGGCCATGCCTGATGAAGATCATGACTGATAAGTGACAGAGCAGAATAATGACGATGATGAATCATCCATCATTCCTCCTGAATTTCGTTCCTCGATCAAAATCTGATGRCTCAATCTCCAAACCAAACTACAACGTAACACGCAACACACCAYTACCGCCCATTGACTCATCGGATTATTCATATTGTCTGACGGTTGAGATCTTACACCCGAAAATAATCCAAGATATGCCTGCCTACAACCTAGAAAGTCAAATTCACGTTTAGGCTATGATGATGGACTATTTCTATTTTCTACCCCATGCCCAATTACTATTCAATAATATAATTAATTAATTGGATCATAACATATATTATCCATTTAATTTAAAAAACGATCAGCACTAAATTGTAAATGACTAAATTCCAACCCAAAGGTGGATTTTACGATTGGTTCATAAACGTTTCTACTTTCTTTCCCTATATAATAAGAATAGAAAGAAATACCAGAAAAACTACCCCAGGAGGCCAGGAATATTTAACGGGTTCAACTTTCAAAATTGGCGTCATTTTCTTATTTTTGGTCTCCAAGACTCCAACTCCAAGCAACTCCAGGCATCCACCCAGACCCAGTTCCTACTTCCTACTACCAACGCCACGCGTATCGCCGAGTGAAGCCCAACGGCGCGCGGCTCGGCCCGATCCACTTATTCGAATCTTCTCTTTGACGTTCTACAAGTGTAGAACCACACTTCACGACGGACGTTTGGTTTAGGGAGTTAAGCGTTGAAAAACAAAAATGAACGCGTTTTCGCCGTTAAGCCTTCACCCCTGCCCCTGCTTAAAAGCCTTGCCTCTCGTTTACTTGTCCTTCCAACCCTCATGACCTTACCTTTACACTGCTGTCTTCCGTTTTATCTTTCTTGGTTTCTAGTCTGCCGGATCTCTAGTTTGCTGGCAAGTTAGGGTTTCTCCCTTCTTCTTTGTTCCGGTTGAAGTTGAACCAGAGTTTTCTCGCGTTTTGCAAGAATCCAGATTCAATTCTTTCGTTACTTCTCTCTTCTCTGTAATGCAAAATAAACCAGCAATTTTAGGGTTTCTTTCCTCATTATGATCCTGAATTTGTTCATCGATGTGGAAATCTTGGACTTTTCTTCTCTCTTGTGAAAATTAGTGAGGAACTGAGGGTTTTTATTTGCTTGATTTCTCAGATCTCACTGTGAGGTTTCAGTGACGAAGTCCAGTATTCCAAGGAAGCGGTTCTGTGGAGCAGAACCCTCTGTTTCGCTTTTCTTCACTAATCGGATTCGGAAGGGTTGTAAAAGAAAGAGGGTTCTGTGTTATAGGTTTTCTTTCCCGTGAATCCCTGATCTACAGGAAAAAGTTTTTTTTTTTTTTTTTCTAGGTTTGCTTATATAGATGGCTTCAGCTGGGTCTTCGTACTGGTGCTACAGATGCAATCGATTTGTTAGGGTTTGGGCTCGAGAAACTATTGTTTGCCCTGATTGCGATGGGGGTTTTATTGAAGAAATCGTTGAGCCCCCTCGATCTGCACATGCAGACGTTAGGCGCCGGCGATTTCCCGGCGCTGCGATGTATATGCTCGGGAATAGGCAGAATTCGGATCAGAGTGCGAATCTAGGGTTTCGCCGCAGCCGAAGGAACACTGGGGATCGTTCGCCTTTTAACCCCGTTATTGTCCTCCGGGGGCCTGCTGAACGTGGCGGCGCGGAAGGTGGTGGTGGAGAGAGGGGAAACTTTGAGCTTTACTACGATGATGGCTCCGGTTCAGGACTCCGTCCGCTGCCCGCAAGCATGTCGGATTTCTTGATGGGTTCGGGCTTTGACCGCCTTCTCGAACAGCTGGCTCAGATCGAGATCAACGGAGTTGGGCGCTATGAGCATCCCCCGGCGTCGAAGGCTGCCGTCGAGTCCATGCCGACCATCGAGATTGTCGACAGCCATGTTGTCACTGAGTCTCACTGTGCTGTCTGCAAGGAGCCCTTTGAACTTGGCTCGGAGGCCCGTGAGATGCCTTGTAAACATATCTACCATTCAGACTGCATCCTCCCTTGGCTCTCTCTTCGAAATTCTTGTCCCGTTTGCCGTCACGAATTGCCTACAGATGTTCGTGGCAGAGCATCGCCGGAGCCCGAAGGTGGTCAAGGCGAGCAATCTCCAGCGACTACTGAAGAAGATACTGTGGGGTTAACCATATGGAGGCTCCCGGGTGGTGGATTTGCAGTCGGAAGATTTTCCGGGGGTAGACGAGCTGCCGAGCGCGAGCTACCCGTCGTTTACACGGAAATGGATGGTGGGTTTAATACTGGCGGTGCGCCAAGGAGAATTTCATGGACATCTAGAGGTAGCAGGTCGAGAGAGAGTCGGGGATTTGGCCGTGTCTTCCGCAGTTTCTTCTCTTTCTTTGGGAGGCTAAGATCGTCTTCTCATCATACTTCAGAATCTAGGGTTACTCCTAGAAGTCGTTCCAGTTCTGTCTTCAGTAGAACCTCGCGGAGGCGCAGCGGCAGCGCCTGGACCTTGGAAGATAACGGTGGAATTTCCAGATGGTGATTTTTTTCTTTGGCTTGGATGGGTTGGKAGACTTTAAGAAAATCTCCTCTCTCTCTACTTCTCTGGTTTTACTGTCCGATCATCCAATCGTGACAGCGCTCTTAGCGCATGGCAACATCTCTGTAAAAGGCTTGGCTTTTAAGCACTGTAAATAGCAAAAAGAATGAAGAATTCTCAATTTTAATCATGTTCAAAAAGAATCCATTTTTCATGGGAATGGACTAGGAGAGGTGCAATATTATTTCTCTCCTCAAATTGGTAGCAAAAGAAACGAAAAATATCGAGGAGTAGTAGAAGAAATGCAATCAGAATATGGAGTGGACTCTAAAAATAGAAGGTACAAGCTCAGACTGCCTGTGCTTAGATGCTAGTGGCATGGTTCAAAGCATTCATATTTTTTTTACTATATTACATTGTTAATGAACCTTCATATTGCATATTATTTTTTCCCTTCTTCATTAGAAGAATGTTGTTAGTGTCAGCCTTCAGCTGTGGGTATAATATTGAACTTCGTTTCTTGTTCACAGAACCTTATGAGCTGTGTGAGCTGTGTCCATGTATGAAGTCCATGGCAATGTGTCATGAAAGTTCGCCTTTTATTCTGGGCATGTTTTTGGATGTGCCAATCTACTAACAGGAAGGGGACTATCTTTGTTGGCCATTTGTCTCTCATACAGCGACTTATTATTAGGAGTTGGGAGATTGAACATATTATGGGTTTCCCAGGCTGAATCATGCCTTCTTTAAGCTGCCATGATCATGATCAGTACCCAGTTACCCACCATCATATAAGGTCCCACTCTCTAGTAATAGTATAGTTTCACCATTCACCAAAAAAAAAAAAAAAACAGTAGATTTTTAGTAATGCCTAATTGACAATTCAGCGAGTAGTGAGTCCAGACTCCAGAGTTTTTTTTTTTGCTTGCAGGAGATAGCGTCGCGAGGGAAGGAGGCTCTCTCACCGCCATTGTCTTTGTCCTGTTGAGACAACAGTGTCTGATTTGAAACAACGAGAGGGCAATAGAGCTCTTTTAGCGTGAAGAATCAAGAATGGGAGAAAGCCTCACTGGAATCAGTGAACAGCTGACACCTCTGACGTTGCTTTGCATATGGGACTTGACCATGTGGACTTGTTTATCAAATGGAATGGCCGAATTGGAGTAATCTCGAATCTCGATTCTCGACCAAATCACTTTTTGGTTTTTGCCGCCACATAAACGCGATACCTCCATAKTATGTCAGTAACCTCCAACACCAAGATTCTAATCATATCATTTGATGTTTAAATCATTGAAGTTGATGTCTTTGAAGGGAAGGTTGGAGAGAACTGCTGTTTAGTGATCTATATGGGAAGGAGCTAGAAAGCTCAGCAAATTGCCCATACTATAATTCACCTTTTTTTACCTTGAGATGAAGTAAAGTAAGATGGAAGATGAGATGCTGTTTCTGGAATATGTTCTCATCCATAATCTACAATCTCAACTTCAACCAAAACCCAGCCAAAACCTGAATAACCACCTTAATGGTATTCGAGATTAGTTCTTGATATGGTACGAAAACCCAGCGGCTTGACTCGGTGAATTTATCCGAGCCAACCTGGTCAGGTGTAGGTGGTTGATCGTGTCCCATTCATTCGAATACTACAACTCTGCCACCTTGAATTCCGTAGAAGCACCTTAGTCGCTTACCATATATATGTGTGGTTGGTTTACGTTTATTGAGGAAACTTTTTTGCTGATGTAGTGCGTAATTGCGCGTAAACGCCTTTTGATTAAATGTGTTTTTCGGTTTTACAATCATACAAATATAAAACGTTTACTGAATAAATTTAAACGAAAAAAAAAACACTTTGCATGTAACTCTGTAATACATCCAAAAAGGCAAAAACCTTAGTCTTACTTAGTCCGTTGAAGATCTAAACCTAAACCAAATCTGAATGAAGAACTTCATATGTCGAAATAAAAATAAATAATAAATTATCATTAAAATATATAACGATGAAATATCTATATTATATAATTCGAATGTTGGGAAGTTTATTTTAAATTTTAGTTAGTATAATTTATTTCATTTTTTATCATGTAATTTCAAAATACATGAACAACAACACAAATAGAATCYATTAATCGTTTGGCCAAGAAGGTTGAACAACCAAACCAAGGAATCTTAAACACCCCACATATTTCTCTCTCGATAGATCACCATCTATTATTGGATCACAGTTTGGCTCAGAAATCTTGCAACAAGGTCAGAATTAAGCTTTGTTCTTGAATCTTGACCCATTTTAAAGTTTAAAGGGGAAATCAATTAAACTATCAATAAGCTTTAGGAATACTGTTTACAAAAACCCTTAAAAGTATCCCTCAATTTTATGACAATTAATTAATTCTATAACTACCATTAGCAAAATGTCACACTCCCTCCACATGTGTATACATGACTGTTATAACTTTTGTAAAATTCAATTCTGCTCTTTATCTACCAACGACAACAAAAATCCTTCAACCAACAACTCGGCCCGTCCAAACTCCTAACATTTTCAGTCACAGTCTCGATCTTTTTATGACACCGTATTTGTAAAGTGTAACCATATATATCCATATTGTTAGCTGGATTTTACTACCTTTTTTTTTAAAGTTTCAAATTAAGAAATCCCACTTTCCAAACTCAATATCCATTTACCGCTATTGCATGAATCCGAGTTTTGAGTCCCTTGCTTCTTTGGTAGCAGAGAAACCAATCCGGAGGCAATCATCAACGAGCACAATACAACCTGAACTCCATTTTGGTTCTTTGGGTTTTGAGACCATACGATCTTTGGGTGGTTTGAACGGTGAACCCATAAAGATTAATTTTACACAAGGCTCAGAAGAGACCCAACCATCAAATTGGTTTCTCATGTCCTGAGGTTCCACGGGAAACCATTTTGCGAATCTCCAAAACCTATTGGTGAACACTCGACTACTTCCAATTCTCAATTTCTCATTTGTCCCACTCTTAAACAAATAAAAAAATAGAAAAACTTCAAAACTTGGRTTTTAAAAAAAAACAATAAATGGAAGGAGAAAATGGCGTCATAAAAGTTGAAAACAGATGGAATGCTAACAACAGCATACCTCTCAACGACAAATGAAAGTTCGTGAAAGACACTAATAAAATGTGGGCCAATGCAGAGTGTCCCCAGTCCCCTATTTGATACATGTTTTGGACTTTGGATTTGTCACATTTAATTTGTAGTCGTGATTTTCACTTCTATTTTATGCAAAATTTGTACTTTTTTATTTGGATTCACTGTGAGTGTGGAGCCACCTTCCTCCCAACTTTATCCATTTAAGACTGTGTTTGGTTTAAAGGAAAAAACAAAAAAAAAAAAGTAGGAAAAGAAAAGGAAAGGTAGGGAAACCTTTACAAATTTATTATGGGTTTYCCTACCTTTTCCTTCAAACCAAATATAGCCTTAAGGTGAGAACCACATTATCATACTTCCTATTTTTTACTCCTCTAAAATAGGCATCCTTCCTTTCCTTCAATCTCTTTCATGTAAAGTAAGGACCACACTATTTTACTTTCCATTTTTATTACTCAAAAAATCAAATGAAGTCAAACAATGTAAACCAGAATTTACAATTAACCCATTTACACTTAATTTCATGCAAATTACACTAGTGCAGATGATATTTTGCATTACACCAAAAGAAAATTGGGTTCAACATCCAGCTATCTAATAACCCAACCCAAACACCCGAGCTCTAAATATATGTACCATTTCGGTTACAATTTGAAGACAACATCTATGTCGAGCTCCGATTAGTAGGATTAGATTGGGATTTTYACACAGGCCGTACAACAAGCAGACGTCGTATAAAATAAAGGGATTATAACAGATAAAGGTAACTTTAGGGCCTTAATATTAATAAAAGTAATACATTTAAAAAATTTCAAAAATAGATTAACTTTTTAAAAATAATATCAATTAAGGGCAAAAATACTGTTCATCTTCTTCCTCTTGCAATCCATTCATCAACGTTGCCACCCGCAMCCGCCTCTGGCAATGCCTCCACCTATCTCTACCCACCTCCGCCTCCGACAACGTTGCCGAAGGTGGGCGGAGGCAGCAGTGGCAACGCTGGTGGGCATTCCTCCGCCCACCAGCGCCGCCGCCGCCGTCGCCTCCGGCAACGTTGTCAGAGGTGGAGGTGGAGGCATTGGGCAGAGGAATGACCACCAGCACCACCGCCATCGCCTCTGCCTCCACCCACCTCCAACAACATTGTCGAAGGTGAAGACGAAGGTGAGCGGAGATAGGCGGGAGGCACTGTCGGAGGCGGCGGCGGCGAACAGCAGCGCTCATGAATGGATTGCAAGATGAAGAAGATGAACAATGTTTTTGCCCTAAATTGATATTATTTTAAAAAAATAACCTATTTTTGATTTTTTTTAAATATTACTTTAATTGATATTAGGGCCCAAAAGTTACCCTTATCTGCTATAATCCCTAAAGTAATCAATCCAAGTCTTAGTTAAGTTATAGTTGAGCGATTTCAGTTAGTGTAGGTCCCAAGCACACCTTTCTTATTGACATTAATAATTGAGAGAGTTTGAGGTAGGGTTTTTGACCCAAATACACAATTTGGATATCATCACTTATCAGTAGGGTCTGACTCCAACTTACTCTACAAATAATAAGCCCTTCTTTTTTTATTTCCTTTTATTTATTTTCATCAATTGACAACTTCAAGCGTGCTCCATGTAAATATGGTTCAGCCTGCGTTTACAACTACCAGCACCAAACAAATGCTTAAGAAAAAAATCAAAATTGTCAATGGAACGACATGATGTTGCAATTAGGGGTGGCAACAAGCCGAGCTCTTCATGAGCTACTCAAGCTCGGCTCGTGAAAAACTCACCTTGGCTCGGTTTCAATTGAGCATAAGCCCAATTTACAAGCTCAATTAAGAAACGAGCTGAGCTCAAGCCTAATAGAGCTCAACTTGTGAGGCTCACAAACCGGCTTGAATATATATATATATATATATATATATATATATATA